TCTTTCTTTCTTTCTTTCTTTCTTTCTTTCTTTCTTTCTTTCTTTCTGTTTCTCTCTTTCTTTCTGTCTCTGGTGCTGTTGCTGTCTCTCTCTCTCTTTCTGTTTATCTTTCTTTCTGTACCTCTGTCTGTCTCTCTCTCTCTATTTATGTTTCTTTCTCTCTGTCTGTCTGTCTGCTCTCTCTCTCTGTCTCTCTGTCTCTCTCTCTCTGTGTTTATCTTTCTTTCTCTCTCTCTGTCTGTCTGTCTGTCTGTCTCTCTCTCTCTCTGTCTCTCTGTCTCTCTCTCTGTGTGTTTATCTTTCTTTCTCTCTGTCTGTCTGTCTGTCTGTCTCTCTCTGTCTCTCTCTCTCTGTTTATCTTTCTCTCTGTCTCTGTCTCTCTGTTTCTCTCTGTTTCTCTCTGTTTCTCTCTGTTTCTCTCGCTCTCTTTCTTTCTGTCTCCCTTTGTCTCTCTGTCTCTGTCTGTCTGTCTCTCTCTCTCTCTCTCTCTCACACACACACACACAAATTCATGGAAAATGCCATACCAACAAGATCAGGCTTCTTGTTGGACAAGAGTTGGTAGAAGATATGATAGCCTCTTTCAGCAGGTTGTTGAGAGATGACCCTAGACTTCTCCAGGAGATCTAGAATGTAAACAAAAGCCACTTCACTTTTTAAAAGAATTAAGTTGTTATCCACTTAAAGAGGGGTCCTCAAACTTGGCAACTTTAAGACTTGTGGACTTCAACTCTCAGAATTCCTCAGTTAGCTGGGAGATGAAGTCCACAAGTCTTAAAGTTGCCAAGTGTGGAGACCTCTGATTTAAAAGCAAGGAAATGCTGAAAATTTTCTGAAGTTTTGATTTATTTGTCAAAGTATTGGCTGATGAAATGTAGAATTTTATTTGGAGATGGAGATGATGGAGATGGATGGATGGATGGATAGATACGTAGGTAGGTAGTTAAGTAGGTAGGTAGGTAGATAATTATTAACCACATGCCAGCTAAAATGGACACAGGACTTGAGAACTGGAGGTTTGTCATTAAAGAAATTAGAAACTTACAGCTCTCAATATCAGCGCCAGCCAGTTTTCCTGTGCTGCCAAAATGAATTCGTATGAATTTACCCTGAATAAGAAAAAATAGACTCTCGTTATTCACAACCAGAACAGCTTCCAATTTTTTAAAAAATGATCTTGATTTTAATGTAGATAGGTATGTGAAAATC